CCCCCCCCCCCCTTGGGGAGGTGTCACGCGCCGCTGGGTGTCCGTGTCCCGGCGGGCCGGAGCTCCTGCCGCCGGCGCGGGCGGCTCCGGGGACGGTCCTCGCCAGGGGTTGATGTGTGATCTGTACGTGTACACGCCTGTGTCCACACACGCATGTGCACATACCCTGCGTGTGTGTATACATAGATATGTATAGAAACACTCACAGTGTATGTGTATCTGTATAGGTGCGTATATACACATTGTGTGCATGTTAATGTGTGTATTTGTACACACTGCATATATATATATATACACACTTATGTTGACAGATGTATGGACATGCATGCACTGTATGTATGTGTGTGCATGTATGTGTGTATATGCATGCATGTAAATGCACAAGTATGTGTACATATACACAAATGTACATGCACCATGCGTATGTATATATACCTCTATACATATGTGTGTGTGTGTGTGCGTGCATGTGGCAATATGTATGCATGTATGTACCCATGTGCATTGAGAGCACCTCCATGGTTTGAGCTGCTGTATGAAACATTGCTGAGCACTTGAAATATGCGAGCAGGGTGGGCAGGGAAGCACCATTGCACTTTAACAGTGTTGAGCACAAGTGGAAATAAAAGGTGTGCTAAGGAAAGAAATGCATTTAATTGGCAGCAATATATGGGGAGAAAGAGAGGCATAAAACCACATACATATATAAGATTCAATGATATATAAATTGTATATAGAAATACATTTATATATGCATGCATGGACATACACGTGTGTATGTGTGTCTCTACATAGCTCTGTATGTGTGTCTAGCAGTGTTGCATGATAACGTTCTGGCCAGCAAAGCAGGGCTTAAATACATAGGGCTTAAGATAAGAGACCTGAGGAGCATCCTTAGTTGGTAGCCCCCTTATGTATGCAACTTTAGCAAAGGCTTGTTCTAAACGTTTGCAGACAATTATTCTGCCACCTTAAGGTGGGAACAAAGCAAACCGTCTTCCACTTTCTCTTTGTTTTCTTCTGCTAAACTGAGTTGGGGACTTCTTCCCTCCCCCCACCCCCCAGGGCTAATTTTGATAATCCTAGAGAGTAACTAGCAAAAAATAAACCAAGAATTTGTTTCACTTGCATATTGCATCTCTTGTGCATATGTTGTGGTTTGTTTGTGTGGTTTTTCCTTTTTCTTTAACTGCTTTATAAACAAGGAAGTTGTGAAAGGTGTGCATGATCTCAAGAACCACAGCTCGCACCATTTTAATTGGTTGCTTTGAGTACTTTTATATCCTCCTCATTTCCTTAAAGGCAGAATTTGGGTATTAAACCATAATTTGACTGTCCCATTCTGTTTTCAGTTGCAGTTAGAATGGTAGGCTAAGGAAACACAACTCCTAAGCTACCTATAAAGCAGTTGGAAAGATCCAGAAACACTAATTGATCCTTCTTGCCTTGTTGCTGTCTGACCTGTGTAACTTGTGAATATGACTCTGTTAATTCTACTTCCTGTTAATACAGGACGGTGAATTTTTGCAGTGAGAGGTAGAGGCAGTACTGTTCTCTGCATCTGTAGCCTAGATGCGATGTGAGAGCAGGGTAGCTTCAATTTTACTTCTTTGCATTTAACTTTATCAAGTCAAATAAGGCACCTGATATTGGCTTTTCTTCATAATATTCATGTAAATGCTTCTTTGTGATGCACAATTTTTCTTTTTCCAGGACACATGAGATGGCCACAGATGACAAACAGTCTCCAACACCGGACTCTGTCAGTGATCTTCCTCGCTCTCCTAGCAGTCCCTCTCATCTCACTCACTTCAAACCCTTGACTCCTGATCAGGATGAACCTCCATTTAAATCTGCCTACAGCTCATTTGTAAATCTCTTTCGTTTTAGCAAAGGTAAGGACTTACTACAGAGCTATTGCTTCTACTTCCAGGTAAATAGGTATCTCGCTGAGAATCTTTAGTTAGGAGCGTGGCTTCAGACTGGTGGCCAAACGGATGATTAAGGAAGCTTCTGTGAGAAGCTTTTTATACTGGATGTAACATGAGCTGGATTCAATCTTGTGGTAAAGGTGATACAACTGTGGTCTTGAGATCAAGTCTGCTGACAGTACAAAGTGCAGAGTTGAAGCCTACTTGCAACCTTTGATCTAGCTTCATTGAAAATCTGCAGCTGCCAACAATGGTTGAAGACAAGCCAGCAGGCAATCCTCTGAATGACCCTTCATAGCAGGGCTTTTTGGAACCAAGGGTGGAAAGTAAAGGTCCTCTTCCCTGCCCCACAAGCAGTTCTGGGACTTACAAGTGGCATGCTGTTTGCCTAGTGAAGTCAACATCTCTGCTTTGTGTGATCTCTACCTCTGGCCCTACTCTTCTTCACTCCTCATCACCTGTGAATTGGCACTATATCTTTGGGCCTCAAATTGTTATAATTCATGTATAGAAACTTCTTAGAAACACCTTTCAAAAGGCATATTTTTTTTCAGTTTCAGTCCTACAGAAAGCTGTGTAACATGACTGGGCAGCAGTGTAAAAAGGAATAGGGGTGGTGGGAGGGCTGCTTTGGGCAGCTTCAGCAAGAAGGGCTTGACAGCAGCGAGGGAGGAGGTGGCCACTTTTTTCCCCTGTGCCCAGCAGCAATTTTTCCCTGTCTGCCGCCACCATAGCTCATCATGGGCAGCCTGGGACCGGGGGTGGGGGGATCTCAGGCTGGTGTGTGTGGGTCCTTGTGGTCCAGAGTGGGCAGGCTGGGCCAGGGCCAGGGCCTGGGCTAGGGCTGTGCGCGTTGGTCCCTGCGAGTTTCCATGGGACCAGGGCTAGCGGGGGCAGCAGCTGGAAAGAGCTGCCACTACTGGGCTGCCTTGAAATGGAGTCTAGCCACAGAGCTACGCCAGCCCCACTGCATGCTTGGGGTGGTGGGATGCATCACAGGCTGGATAGCACCTGGACCAGGTGGGACCAAGGGACCCGCTGCAGGTTGGATCTAGCGCACAGGGTATATTTTACCAAACCTTGGTTTAGGAGTTCCTGGCATGGGTAAGAGAACTGCCTCTGATCTTAGAACCTGCTCCCTTGCTGTCAATATTGCATGCCCTCCCCTCTCCTGCACTTCCTCCCCTGCAGTGTTTGTCCCAGGAGCCAACTCTGTTTGTTATGCCACTATGATAGAGCTTTACTTGGCACCTGGGTTTTGAGCATTCTTCCCAGGAAAACTTCTGTTTAGTGGAAGAGCTTGCAAGGAATGGTGGAAGCATTTGGTTTTGTTCTGATATTGGTGAAATTACACTGAGATAAAGAAAACAGTATAAACTAACAGAGGGAAAACAAGACATTTTTTTTCAGTGATTAAAGGAATAAACTGCTTCCCTTGGCTAGTGGGGAAGTTTTTCATAGAATAGTTAGATGTCTTGGATTATTAATTTAGGACATTCTGCTTTTCATTCTGTTCTAGATCTGTAATTGTTTTGGTTGGGGAAGGACACAAAACAAGCACACACCAGTCAATGGCTCCTGTTCAATGAGTCTAGTCCAGTCAGTTTAATTAACGGAGTGTTGGATAAGCAAATTAAAATAATGTTTTGGTTACAGACAGCCTGGGCACAGGGCACCTTAACACTATTGGAATTAACATGTACACTGTTGTAAGATTTGCTGGTGTTTGGTGGTGGGAATGAACAAGTGACCGGCTAGCTACTATAAGATATGCTGTTGCAAGTAGTTAGCTGGGGAGGCTGATATAACTAGCTTGCATTGAGCAAACAGGATAGAAGTGGACATCTGATGCTTATACTAGTGTAGCTTAAATTAGTGTTCCTAGAATCATAGAAAATTAGCGTTGGAAGAGACCTCAGGAGGTCATCTAGTCCAACCCCTTACTCAAAAGCAGGACCATCCTCAACTATATTACCCCAGCCAAAGCTTTTGTCTAGCCAGGCCTTAAAAACCTCCAAGGATGGAGATTACACAACCTCTTTGGGTAGTCTGTGCTTTACTATTCTCCTGGTGAGAGAGTTTTTCCTAATATGTAACCTAAATGTCCCTTGCTGCAACTTAAGACAATTGCTCCTTCTGTCATATGCTACCACTGGGCACAGTCTAGCTCTATCTTCTTTGTAACTGCCCTTCAGGTAGTTGAAGGCTGTTATTCAATCCCCTTAGTCTTCTATTTTGCAATCTAAATATGCCCACTTCCCTCAGCCTCTCCTTGGAAGTCAAGTGCCCCAGCCCCCTGTTTTTGTTGCCTTCCGCTGGACTGTCTCCAATATGTCTACATTCTTTGTAGTGAGGGGCCCAAAACTGGATGCAGTACTCCAGATGTGACCTCACCAGTGCCAAATAGAGGGGAAGAATCACTTCCCTTGATCTGCTGGCAAGGCTTCTACTGATGCAACTCAGTATGCCGTTAGCGTTCTTCGTAACAAGGGCACACTGCTGGTTGATATTCAGCTTACTGTCCACTGTAATGTTCAGGTCCTTCTCTGCAGAGCTGCTGCTTAGACAGTTGGTCCCCAGCCTGTAGTGGTACATGGGATTGTTCTGCCCTAAGTGCAGGACTTTGCACTTCTCCTTAGCGAATCTCCTGAGATTTCTTTTGTTCCAGTCTTCCAATTTGTTGAGATCTCTCTGAATCCTAGCCCTACCCTCCAGGACATCCCACAGCTTGGTGTCATTTGCAAACGTGCTGAGTGTGCACTCCATCCCATCTTCTAGGTTATTGATGACAATATTGAACAAACTAGCCCCAGAACTGACCCCTGGGGCACGCCACTTGATACTGGCTGCCACCCAGACATTGAGCCATTGATTCCTTTGAGCCTGACAATCCAGCCAGATTTCTGTCCACCTTACAGGCCATTCATCCAACCTGTACTTCCTTAGCTTGCTTGTAAGAAGGTTGTGGGAGACTGTATCAAAAGCCTTGCTAAAGTCAAGGTACATTACATCCACTGCTCTTACACGTCCACAGAGCCAGGGTCTTCTCATCGTAGAAGGCAATCAGGTTGGTAAGGCATGACTTGCCCTTGGTGAATCCATGCTGATTGTTTCTAATCATTCTATTCTTCAAGCGCTTAGAAAAAAAAAGATTCCTTAAGGACTTGCTCCATGATTTTTTCAGGAACTTGGGTGAGACTGACTAGTCTGTATTTTCCCAGATCTTCCTTCTTCCCTTTCTTAAAGATAGGTACCATATTTGCCCTTTTTCACTTCTTGTAAGATTTGTTTTGGTTTCATAGTTTCATAGCTGGTAGGGTCGGAAGGGACCTGAGCAGATCATCAAGTCCGACCCCCTGCCATGGGCAGGAAAGAATGCTGGGGTCAAACAGCCCCAGCAAGGTGATTATCTAACCTCCATTTGAATACCCCCAGGGTAGGAGCCAGCACCACTTCCCTTGGAAGTTGGTTCCAGATCCTAGCCGCCCTGACTGTGCCTTTTAATGTCCAGCCTGAACTTACTCTGTCAACTTATGGCTGTTATTCCTAGTTACTCCTGGTGGTGCTCAGGGGAACAGGATCTCTCCCATTCCCTTCTGGTCCCCCTTGGTAAGTTTATAGACAACTCCCATCCCCTCTGGGACCTCAGTGCCTCCCCGACTAATCTCCTTAACTCATTGAAATCGGCCCTTCTGAAGTCCGGGGCTCCTGCATTGCTGCAGGCCTTTGACAGCCTGCACTGGATGGTGAATTCCAGTAGGCGATGATCGCTATCGCCCAGGTGGTCGAGAACCTGCAGCCTCCTCACCAGGTCGTCACCTGTGGCCGGGACCAGGTCCAGCAAGGCATTCCCCCTGTTGGGACTGTGGACCTCCTGGGTTAGCTGGAGGTTCTGTATCTCAGCTAAGAACCTACATGAGCAGTCAGACCTAGCTGACTGCTCTTCCCAGCAGATGTCTGGGTAGTTTAGTTCACTGAAGAGTTCCCGGCTAAGCCAAAGTGGTCTTCTGCCATAAATGTTAGGCTTCCTGTGCATTGGGATGGTTTGTTTGTGTGCTCTCAGTAAGGTTTCTTTAAAGTTCAGCTGTCTCTCCTGGACTCCTTTTTGCTTCATACTGGCCTCCCAAGGGATTCTGCCCATCAGTTTCCTGAGTGAGTTGAAGTTTGCTTTTCTGAAGTCCAGGGTCCTTACTCTGCTCTTCTCCTTCTTTCCGTTCCTCAAAATCCTGAACTTGATCATCTCATGGTTGCTGCTGTACAAGTTGCCATCTACTTCTACATTTTCCACTAATTCTTCCCTGTTTGTGGGTAGTAGGTCAAGAAAAGCACAACCCCTAGTTGGGCTCTCCAACACTTGCACCAGGAAGTTGTTTCCAGCACTCTCCAGAAACTTTCTGGATTGCCTGTGCACTGCTGTATTGCCCTCCCAGCAATGTTGCTATATCCCTGATTTTTTCCTATCCTACCTCCTCTTCAAGTAACTTTGTTTTGTGTGCCAGCTGGGGATACAGTTGGGGACACATCATAAGCATTGTGCATTCACTCTTTCTTTACACTCCTATAAGGATAGGGTACAGTAGTGTAAATGAGTTGTATATGGGTTTAGAGACTTAGGAATATACCTGTTTAATGGAAATACTTCAGCCATTTCTGATCTGACAGCATCAAAAGGTATGCCCAGCCAGCCATAGTTAAGGAACATTAAGGAAGGAGTGCATTTCGTTGCATTAGATCAGTGGAGGCCAACTTTTCTGGCATATGTACTACAGATTAGCTCTATATCTCTGCAAGTGCCATTCCAATCCCTTTCTCTTGCCCAATTTGCTGCTCTGCTTTCTGCTCCCTGCCCTATCTGCCTCTGCTGCCGGTCCTGTCCCTGATCTGCTGTTTCACACACAGAAATCTATCTATGTCACTTGTGTTGCAGGTTGGCCACCCCTGCATTAAACAAACAAGGTTGCAAAATTTTATATTTTAAAGCAAAACTGTCCAATTTTAAAGCAGGTGGGGGCCACATACCTCGTGGACTGTACTGTTGGGGCCCCAAACCACAGAGGCAGCAGTAGTGGGGATTATGAGCCCTGTACACTGGTATGCACACAGGTTGGTCTTTCCTCCCCCACTGCAGCATGCACATGGACAGATGCTTCCCCATGTAGCATCCTGCCTCATCTGCCGTGTCACAAACCCGCTCTATTTTGGCGGAGGTCAAGGAATGTTTGCATGTTTCCCTGAATTAGGTTTGCTGATATAGTGTTTGGTGTCTATTAATACTAAAGATGAGCGATGTTTAATTTTGATGTTTGCATAAATTATAATTTTTATGGGTGTAGTTCTATACTCTTGTATGATAGCCAGTCAAAGAGGACTTCAGGAAGAACAAAAGCTGTTTACATCTGGAGGATTGAAGTCCAAATAGTTGGGAAAAGAAAACCCTGAGAGTTTACAGTTGCTTAGTTATGCATAATAGGTGCCAATGTGAGGTATCGCAGCCTAACTCAGGCAGGGAACTAGTTTTTAAGGAAAATGTACCCAAATAATATTTGATTAGAACTGGAAGATTGGGTTTGTAATCTTTGTCTGAAAGGCTGTAGATATTCTTCCAGTCATAAATGGGTCAGTAAAGAAGCCTGACTGGTAAACGGATATATGTTATGGGGCAGGATGTTATATCCATAATAATTGGAAGCATTTCAGAGGTGTGAACCCAGCTGCATCCAGGGTCAGGGCATGTTGCATGGAGCAGAAGCCAGGGGGAGGGAGGGGAAGCATCAAGCTATTGGTTGCTACAGCTGGAACATTAGGGCAGTGGGAATCTGAGGGCTGCATGTTAACTTTGTCAGTGGGCCACCAGTTGGACAAGCCCTTTTTTAAAGAATGGGGCAGAAGGACTTTTGGAATAAGTCACAGAATGAGCATCTTGTTGAAACAAGCAGGAATCTCTCTTGCCTGTGTTGAACCCTCTGTCTGAAAAGGTTGAATGTATTGAAAGACTGTATATATTGGTGCAGCCAGAGTACTTGGAAAAACTGTTTTGTAAATCAGGAGTCTTCAAAAGACTGAGTCTGGTAATAGTGAGGACAGCTCCTACTTTGTTTATGTGCAGAAATGACATCTGTTCTAATTTGTGTTCCTATTTCTTAATTGAGAGAATAGACTACAGAATGAGACCAGTTCCTGCCTTAACCTACAGGTTTTATTTCTTCTCTCCCTGTCCTGCCCTGCGTTTGTGTAGTACCTAAGTCAGCGGGACCCTCAATCCAGATGAGTCTCTTGGGCATTACTATATTTTAAACTAAGTATCAACACAATTTCTGTGGCTTCAGACTTCCATGTGGTAATGAATTTCTGTCATGTTACCAACTGGTTTCTTCTGCTTAGATGATGGTAGGCTCTCATCTGCTGCAGAGAGAGCAGAAACTGGATCGAGTGATCCACAAGCACTGAGTGGGACATGGGCCAGTCCTCAGCATCCCTCCCGAACACAGTCTCTGAGGTCGCCTGTTCCTTATAAAAAGCAACTCACTGGTGAACTACAAAGAAGGTCTTCCGCAACCTTAGGTAAGTCAGCACAAAGTATTAAAATGAGGTATATGTTAATTGTTTGGTAACTCTATGAAGGGAGGTACAATCTCCAGCTAACAAAAGCATGGAAAGGAACTGAATTGAACAGTTTCAGTGGCTAGTCTAATGCCACATAAACTGGTGCAAAAACTGCAAAGCAAGATCATCTGTTCAGGAGTCTTTCATTGGGCCAGCTCTTTTACTTGTGAGATGTTAAACAAGCTTAAAGGCACAAAATGCCCTTCTTCAGGTCTGGAAAAGCAAGAGCCTAAGTACCTGGTAAAACAATTGCTTTTGTGTTAATTTTGGTATGTAAATGAAAATCTCCATTTTAAAGGAGGAGAGGGCAGCAAACCTTCGGAGTAAAGAGAAGTAGCTACAGACCAAGCAAAGGGTGGCTGATATGGATATATCTACTTACTTAAAACAGTGGTGCTTAATTTTTTTGGCCTGTGGGCCAGATGGGCAGTGTTTGAACTGTCTGTAGGTTGGATCCAGTGGGGCCTCATCTGGCTGCACAGGAGGTTGTGGGGGGGATTGGCCTGGCCCCAATCTAGCCATGTAGTGGAGGAGGGTTTGGCCCAGCCCTGTGGGAGGAAGGGGGCTTGGCTCACCCCAGCATGGCTGGGTACAGGGAAGGGGAGTGGCCTGGCCACCTTGGGGAGAAGAGAGCACAGCCCAGCCCAACCTCCTGGCCCAGAGGGAAGGGGGAGTGACCTGGCTTTGATCCGGCCATGCAGGGCAGGGTTGTGGCCCTGCTCAGACCCACCCCACAGGGCTTTGGATTCTGGTAGCAGGGAGGGATGGCAGTAGTGTCACTGCTTCCCTGCTGCCAAATTTCGTAATCTACGTGGTGCCCAGAAGACTGGATTCCAACGCTCTGTGGCTGCATTTGGCCCACAGTCTGGAGGCTGAGCACTGCTGGCCTAGAAGAATTTCAGTTTCATAGTAGGTAGGGTCGGAAGGGACCTAAGCAGATCATCAAGTCCGACCCAATGCCATGGGCAGGAAAGAATGCTGGGGTCAAATGACCTCGGCAAGGTGTCTATCTAGCCTCCTTTTGAAGACCCCCAGGGTAGGAGTGAGCACCACTTCCCTTGGAAGTTGGTTCCAGATACTAGCCACCCTGACTGTGAAGTAGTGCCTTCTAATGTCCAGCCTCAACCTACCCTCAGTCAACTTATGGCTGTTATTCCTAGTTACTCTTGGTAGTGCTCGGGGGAACAGGGACTCTCCCATTGCCTGCTGGTCCCCCTTGGTCAGTTTGTAGATGGCCACCAGATCCCCTCTCAACCTTCTCTTGTGGAGGCTGAACAGGTTCAGGTCCCGTAGCCTCTCCTCGTAGGGCCTGCCTTGCTGCCCCCTGATCATGTGAGTGGCCCTCCTCTGGACCCTCTCGATGCTGTCCACATCCCTCCTGAAGTGTGGCGCCCGGAACTGGATGCAGTACTCCAACTGCGGCCTGATCATATGTCACAGAGAGAGGAAGGATCACCTCCTTGGACCTGCTCATGATGCATCTATGGATGCATGACAAGGTGTGGTTAGCCTTCCTGACTGCATCCCCACATTGTTGGCCCATATTCATCTTGGAGTCAATAGTGATTCCAAGATCCTTTTCTGCCTCTGTGCTGATGAGAAGGGAGTTCCCCATCCTGTAGGTATGCTGCTGGTTCTTCCTCCCCAGGTGCAATACCTTGCACTTGTCAGTATTGAAACCCATCCTGTTCTCATCCACCCACCCCTGTAACCTGTCCAGATCTGATTGCAGCCTGTCCCTCTCCTCTAGTGGGCCCACTTATCCCCACATCTTAGTGTCATATGTCTTTGTCCTCTTCCTTGCTCTCTAGTATAGCTCATGCTGTCTAACTGCTGCTAGCTGTGGTTAGGTGAAGCAATTGCTGTTGCAGTCAGTTTCTGAAGATGTAAAGTACCAGAGGTGTATGGGTACAGAATGACTAGATCAGTGGCTCTTAACTCTTTTTCTACTTGAGGACACCTTGGTAGACTTGATACCCTCTCCCCTCCATAACTCTTGTGAATTGAGTGACATCCTATTTCAATAAGTAATTTATATATTACAGTCTTTACCTCCTTGCAGAGAAGCCAGGCAGTTGGGAGTGGGGAGAACAGTCAGGCAGTGACAAGCTTAAGCCTGTATTTATCTGTTCATACCTACTAACACCCTTCAAAGCATCTGGGGATATTCTGGTTGAAAATCCTGGAGACAAATGCATTGTTGGGTATGAGGGAACTAAAGGCTGCCACAGTACAAAGTGTCTTGGTCTTACTTGGGTCTGATTTGTGGCTGCATTACTTCAGTTCTGATCCAGGTATCTGATTGATTGAATTTCAGTGGAAGTCCAATAAAGTACTGTAAACCAGAACAAAGCTACAGTGAATTGGATCTGTATTCTCTACAATAGTGTACAAACACATAATTATGTAGGCAATCTGTGATTAGCTCCCTGATGCTTTATTAGAAATGCCCCATAAATCTGGTAAAATTAACCCAGTTACAAGCTGTGAAAAAATGAAATTATCAGGAATTTCTTTTTGGAGCTCACTTTGAAAAAGGTCCTTTCATCCCCAGGATATTATAAAGCCTTGTCTTGCAGGTCGACTTGGCCTTCTGTTTTTTTGGTCACTTTTTGAAAAATACTGAACTAAGAGTGCTTCCCAGAACCTGAGACAGTATACTTTTAAACCAAAACAAAACAGGATGGAGGCCAACTTAGACCCTGAAAGGTGCAGTCACTTTTCCACTGGTATTTGCAAAAGCTTTTATGGTCCCAAACAACATTTGATGTTTGTGGGATCTACTCTCACATTCTCTTGTAAATCTCACTAGATGCCTATCTGCCTGTTTAGCCCTCTAACTATTGTACATCTAGCTCTTTCTATGAAGATGGCTGTGTCTCTTGTGACTGTTAAAATCTTCTTGGTTTAAATAAGCAGATGAGCTGAAGCACAAAGAGACCAGATGACTTGTCTAGCTCCTAGGGAGATGGTGGTGGGAGGAAAAATAGAATGTGTGATTGATGATTCAAAATTCTGTCTGCGATGTGACTGTGCTCTCAGTGTACTTGCTAGATGCATAGCTTTACAAATTTCATGGCCACCTTGTCCCCTCACGGCTTCCTTCTGATGCTGGCTGCTCAATAGGTCGTTGCTGGCTGCGCAGTAGTGTTGCGTCATGGTTCATGCCATGTGATGTTACTGCACAGTAAGAGTCTCATGTAGATACAAACACTAATGCTATTAGTATTGGTTTTAACACAGGAGGAAGGTAGAGAGTGGCAAGGACATTTAATGGAAATAAAGTAAGATCGCTGGGAAGAAAAAAGACTGAAGAGGAAGTTCTTGTCAGGCAAAGGAGAGACTTGTGGTGGAGGGAGGGAGAGAGATAACTACTCCTAAAACTTGCCTAGCCTCTCCTAGTTTTAGCTGTAAATGTTCATGGGACACTGAGATAATCCTCTTAAATATTACTCTTCAATCATAGAGTTGGTTCAATTCATAAAGATGCATTCATTAAAATTGCATCTCTGTGCTGCTGTCTTGCATATAATCTAAAATTTCTGATTTTTTGTTTTTGTTTTTTGAACCACTCCTTTTTAAAAGAGCATTCATGTGTAGGTGGCCAAGCAGAGATATGAGGACCTGACTTTTGGGGAAGTTTTGCTGCTTTATTTCAATTGTATCTCCTTTTAATCTGCAAATTGAGGCATTACAACCCTGAAAGCAGTTGCTGGATAACTGGAAGCTCCTGTTGAACACAGGGCTGAGGTCAATATTTGAAGTAATACTTCTGTTTTCTTGTGACTGGAGGATTAATTAAATGTCATTAAAATGTTGGACCCAAATACTATAGACTATAGAGTAGACTACTGGTTCTTAACCTTTTTAGACTAAATGATTTAGACTAAAAAATGCCAGCTCTTATTTTTCTAGAGTCAAAAAAGAGTGAAAGCCAAAAGAGCAAGTCTTCTGTTGCAAAGAACTTGGAAAGACCATGGGAAGGAAGAATGGTTTTAACGCTGTAAATTCATATTTGAAATCTTTGGGTTTATCTTGCGGATCATGTTTGCATACCTAACAGCGCTCTTAGCACCCTTGGAAAAGATGTCATGGCATCCTAGGGTGCCATAGCATCCTGGTTGATAATTACTGGAGCAAGCAATAGTCCAGATATGGCCCTGAGTTTAGCTGTGTGATACTGTTAGGTGAGTAAAATCTCTAAAATGTCAAGTGCTTGTTAGAATTTTTTTTAAACTTCCCGTTTCTGTTGCAGATCTCTAGGTTTTGGACAAAGCCCCCATTTTTTTTTCTTTGGGGCTAATTGAACCTTTTTGAATAGGATTATCCAGAAGAGTTTTTTAGTTAACTGTAGTGCTTTAGCAATCTAAAATAAAGTCCTCTTCATTCACTGCCCAAAACTGAAAGCCTGATCTGTACTGTGCAGAAGCAGTTAACTGATGTAGTTTTGTTAGCACTGTGGGCAGGAACGCTGACATCAGCAAGATATAAAGCAGTAAACAAAAAGCTGCCATGTCTGTTTCTGCTGCTGCTTGTACGAGGGAGGGAAAAAACATAAAATGCTAGTCAAATGGAGAATGACAGAACTGGTAAGGAATTTTGAACTGTCCTGAAAAGCTAATTATATAGGAAAAATAGCTTTCAGTTTCCATTTTTAATATTCAATAGAAAGAGATGTTACATGATGAAAAGAATGATGTAAATAATTTGGAGAGAGACTCTTGTATCCTAAATATCAAAGATGCTCAACTTTTCTTAGCTTCAGCTTCTAGTAAATGAAACAAAGTGCAGCAAGTGGGAATTTCTGGGTAAAAATGTCTTTAAACTATATGAACCATATTTTTGCCTGCTTGATCTTGACCTTAATTTATGAATGCACTTTATTTGTGTTCTAGGTGTTTGAATGGAGACTTAGCTGTGATGTATTGATTTTCACGAATAGTTCTAGTTGGATACTACTAGACTAAATTCAAATTCCTTGTTGCAGTTGTCTTGTGATTTTACTATTCTGTAAGGCATTTAAAAAGGAAACTTCAAATGTGTGTCCTAGAGGGGTGGGGAGGCACTGTTTGAAATTGCATTTAGTCTCTAAAAAACATTGGTATGAAACTTACATTATTTCTGAAAGATAATCATTAAGTTTTCACCTAGATTTCTAATGCATTTTAAGTAGGTATTTTATCTGTATAACCACATCTCGATTTCTGGTCGTTACAAACTCAATCTGGCATAAACAAGCTTTTTAAAAAAGTAATAATTCATATTCTAACTTCCTAAACTGCGTGTCCTACTGAACTTACCCCTTCAGTGGAGTTTTGCATTATGTGATGTAAGAGTTTCTGAGAATTGGATGAGCCTATCTGCCCTCTCTTCTCCCCCCCCTCCCCCCCCTTTTCCCCACTGCAGAAAATCAAAGGAAAGTGGAACCCTCTCTTGGAGGTCATGATCCTCGAACAGCAGTTCAACTAAGGAGTCTCAGCACAGTCTTAAAACGCCTCAAAGAAATCATGGAGGGGAAAAGTCAGGTACTGTATTAGGGCTTTTCAGAAATTAGGTCAATCAAATCATGCAGAAATTTTAAATGTTACAGGGCTTTGTGTTGCTCTTTTCCATTTGCAATTCAAGAAACTGGAAAAAAAAATCATGACACTTCCTTGGTGATTTTCATGTAATGTTTGTTGGAGCAGAATGAATAAGCACAATGGTTGAGTAGGGGAGGGAGGAATAGAGAAACAGTTCAAGCTGAATTCTGTTTTTGACCTAATTAATCATAAATGCAAGGAACTGCAGTTCCTTTCCATCCTGTAGTTTTACAATTCCATTCTCCCAAAAGTCTAGCCAAGAACAGATCAGGTATTGTAAAAATAGTTATTTTAAAGTTTTGGAAATCTAAGTTTAAGGATGCTTCTAGACTAAGTACACTCATTTGATGTTGCGACTAACTGACAACATTTGTATAAAAGACTGCTCTATTAGGTGTTGATCTGGCTGAGAGAAGGTTACATGGGTTATGCTAACTTGACCCCACTTCTACCTTGAGACTGGCTATATAAAAATAAGGGTTGGGAAGAGAAATCCCTGTGAAGTTGCATAGGTTGGAGGCATGATGTGTCATGTTCTATTCACAACATGATACAATGCTGAGGAGGCACAAATCTGGATTCTTAGCACATGAATTTTTTGGAGCTGACTGTCTACCCCATCACTTTATCTATGCAATGATGGGTGAACTGTGGAAATACAGACAACTGATTTGTAGTATTTTTGTTGCCATCCTGGAATAGAAATCTGATTAGTAAAGGTGCAAGCTATCTCCTGCCCCCCCCCCAGCAGAGGCTTCAACCTCTCATTTCCTTTTTCGCTGGCTAGAGTTTGGCAGGGTCTGGTTACTAGCATTTAGAGGTGCACTGATACATTGGTCCCATATTGTATCAGCACTGATAAAAAGAAAATTGACATTATTGACAGTTGGCCTTTTTTGGCTGATGTAGCTGATAAATGCTGCATGCATGTGCACAGCCACAGCGCAGCATGCAGGTGGCCAGGTGCACAGCCCGGCAGTGTGGAGAGTAGCATCCGGCTGATAAGGCTATTGTGGGGAAAGGGACATGGGCAGACCAAGGTCCCCACGGTGAGGGAATGGGGCTGGTGCTGCACAGCTGGAGCAGGATGCAGGATGGAGTTGTGGCTGCTCTCACCCCGTGCATGGATTCGAGGGCACATGCCCCCCATACCCTACTGGGGTGCATGCAGTGGTTCTTCCCCCCCCCACCTGATGAGCTGCAGCTCCATCCGTGCCCTGCTCTTCCCCGGTTGTGCAGTGCCTGCCCCTGCACCAGCACCAGCCCCACTCCCTCCCTCACTGCGGTGACCTCTATCCACTCCCCCCCATGCCCCTTCCCTTCCCCTACAACAGATTTACCAGCCAGACACTGCTCTCTATGCTGCCAGGTTGCTGGATTGGTATCCGCTGATATGATTCGTTAAAAATTTGCCATCTGTATTGGACACAAAAATCTCTGTTGGTGGAATCCTACAAGCATTGCAATGGCTCTGTTAAGATTTTGAATTCAGGAGCTTGGGATCTATCTCTGTCCACCCTGGTGTGTAGTTGGGTCTGCTCCTAAAAAGCTTCCTCCTGCTGTTGCTAACTTTAGGCAATCTTTATGGTTCCTGAGTAGACTTCAGGGGAACTGAGGAAAGTAAATTAGCTTCCTTCTTTGGGTAGTTTAGCTTGCAAGGAATACATTTAACCTGTTATGCATGCTATAGGTTCCTTCTACACTGGCCAGGAGAGCTGAGCTTTATTTAAAAGGATCAGACAGGTCAGTGTGAAAAAAAACAAAATGGAGTTCAGTTGAGGCACTGGCATGTTGCCTCCAATGTAGACAGATTGTGTTGATGAAGGAAAGCCTAAACCAGTCTCATTTACAAATCGGAACTAAGGCAGGAATTTGTTGTACAGGGGTTTGACAAAATTTGTCAGGTCCTTTGGATGAAGACTTAAGGCATTTCCCAAGCTCTTGGGGGGGGTAACCATGCTGAACTCATTACTGTTAATGGCAATCAAGCTGTGATTGTTCAGTGTGATTGCTATTAGAAGTAGTGAGCATGCTACACACAAGGCTCTGTCAGTGTGGCAATGCCTGTATAAACTGCTTCACACTATTCCATCAAAATGTGTCAGTACTTAAGTGCTGTCTGGAATGACTAAAGCATTCTTCTGTTCGGGAGCTGGTCAAGCTATACAGCGTCCCCTTCATAAGAGGCACATGGCAGAAGGTTGTACTGCATGGTCTAGACTTGAGAAAGCCATCAAGGGATGCTTGATCAATTCAAAGTAGAACCTGGCCTTGAATACCCTCTACCATGCTGCAGTGCTGACTTGAGAAAGGTACTTCAGTTCAGCTGCTTCAAGCCCTACAGAACCTAAAAGGGGGGGGCAGTTGGGCCTGTGTGTTTTCCCCCCACCCCAACATTCACAAAAACTCCCTAAGTGGCTCTTCTCCACACTTGGCTGGGGGTGGGTGGGGAGCAGCTTCCAGGAGCGGAGATGGCAAGCAGGGCTGGGATTGCCAGGTGGTGACGGCATGGGGCCAGGGCCTGGGGCAGAGCCATACTCCAGTGCCCATGCACCTCTGTGATGGGCACCGGTTTTGTGGGCGGGAGCTGATTGTGGCTTTGCCCCCAGCCCTGTGCTGTTGCTGCCCGGTGATCCTGGGGTCTCCATGGAGACCGACCGGGACCAATGTAGGTAGGCAGATGGGGTGGGGCCGTGGGTGGGTCGGGGGCTTTGTCCAGGTCCGGATCCAGGATCTTAAGGTAGTGACAGTGTGGGGCTGAGGCCCAGGGAATAGCTACAGTCTGCTTCCTACATGCCTCTGCCCGTGAAACCTGTGCCTGTCAAAGGGCTGTGCGGGCGGCAGATCACAGTTCGGCCCCACCCACACACTCACCACTCCATGATCCTGGCCTTGTCTGCCCATGGCCCCATCCCATTCACATGTCTGGCCCCGCAGTTCTCGCCCCTGGCGGTGGGTGCAGAGCGCAGACAGCCTGGGGTGCCCAGGCTGTGGGGCCAGGTCTGGCAAATGGCAGCAGCCAGAAAGAGCTGCTGCTGCCATGAAGCAAGTCCGGCCGCTGTGCTGCCCCTGCCTCACTGCTCACCCGGGGGAGGTGGGACCAGTTGCAAGCACCATGGCCTGGACTGCCCTTTAAGCTGGGGCTGGGTGGGACTGAGGGACCTGCTGCAGGTCAGACAAAATCCCTCAGTGGGCTGGATCTGGATTTAGCTGTATTTTGCCCACCCCTGTTCTAAAACGATGTCTGTTGCACAGGAAGTTGTTTTGTAATGTATGAGATACAAGAGCTCAAAGATCATTGGTTTTCAAGCTTCAAAATCTGTTGTCTTAAGGAAAAAACAAACAAACAAACAAAAAACCCTTCCAGTTTCTTCTAAGGCATATTTGGGGAGAGAGGTAGAAGAATTTTGTTATTCTCAGCTTCATAGTTTCCAAATATTCCAAGAACTCTGAAAACCTCCATGTATTGAAGAGTAAACACTTTAGAAAACACTTTTCTTTTTTGGTTTAACTGACTAAAAACATATGGTAGATTAGTTACTTTTCTATTGTTACTTTCTGGCTTCTTTCCTCCCCTCTGGAAAAGCTTGTTCCTCTTCTAAGTTCAATTTGGCTGTATTGCCCACAGCTAGAACTGAACTCTTAACAAAAAGTATGACCATCATACCCAGTATAGCCATGTGAAGCTTAGCAATCCCCTCCCCTCTCCTTGCCTCTTGGTGTTCATGGGGGATGGATCCAGCCTCATAACAGTAATTTGTGTTGCATATACCCAAGCAAGAAGTGCATTCTGCATTTTGGACCCTTTTAAAATGAGAATTAAACCTTGATGTGTGTGCCCATATGCATTTTATCCTGTTCCGTGTCAAAGTTGTCATAGCTTGCTGCATTTGAGTCTCCATGTTGGTTTTTGCTCAGCCACTAATTGGGGTTCTCCAACTGCACAGCTATCCAGGACAAAACTAAAACAGGACAGATAAAATTTGATATCAAAGCCTTTTGTCAAAAATCTGAATGTCAGAATATTTTAAAACCCCCCCCCCCCCCCCTTTTTTTTTTTTTTTAATTTCGTGTAAGGCCGGTCTAAAATGATGATGTAGAGTAGTGGGGAACCAACCTTTTTGGCTGGCATGCCAAAAATTGTCCCTGTACCCTCTCTGAGTGCCTCCCTGATCCCATCCTTAGCCTGATCTCCTACTCTGCTTTTTGCTTCCTGCCTTGTGCTCCCTGTCTGATCTGCTGTTCCTGGTCTGTCTGGCACTCTGCTTCCTGTTCCTTCCCTGATTTGTCACATGCCACACACAAAGGCTGCCCATACCATTTGTGGAACTTAAGCTGTGGGTTGGCTACTCTGACCTGGCGTTTAGAAGATGCCATGTTGATAGTTATAGTTTAATGTTCCTTGGTTAATTGTTTTCAGTAAGGTTTGTTTCCTTAATAGTTAGGGCCCTGTCACATGCTTTAGGTGAGGAGAGGAAGGAAAAAAAATCAATAATTTGCATAGTAGGTGACCCAATTTTTATTTACAGATCATGGGTTTTTGATTGTGTGGTCCATTAAATAAACCAACCAGACAGACTCTTATTAAAATAATTCAGTTGAGTTCTCTGGATTAAAAACTTTAATAAAACATTTGACTCAGTACTTGTGAGTCCTGTTTCTAGCTCCAAACAAGTGAGCTTCTGTATGTCTTGTAAATGAGCCCATTTTGTGTTTGTTTATTTTTTTCATTATTTTCATTTGCTACCTATGTAGCAATTTTCATTTAAAATGTTGTTTCTTTTTAACTTTTTACAGGATAGTGACTTGAAGCAATATTGGATGCCAGATAGCCAGTGCAAAGAATGTTATGACTGCAGTGAAAAATTTACCACCTTCCGGCGCAGACACCACTGTCGGCTGTGCGGGCAGATCTTCTGCAGCCGGTGTTGCAACCAGGAAATTCCTGGGAAATTTATGGGTTACACAGGTAGTTATTTTTTTGAGTGCTAAACCCCCCCCCGGACTTCTTAGATCTCTGATGTTTGTATTTTGTGAGAGTGAGGTGATCCCATTTAATGCTCATCTGCAGAGCAACATTAGTAAAATAAATGGGTGTCTGTATGTGCACATTTGCTTGGTGACCCTTGCTTTGTTAAATTTTTCTCACGTGTCTTGATGAATTGGGGCCCATACTTCTTTGATTTCCCAGCTTGGGAATGATTTCCCAGCTTGGAGGTAATGGCGGCCCAAACCACTCATTTCCTGAAGTGCTTCAGAAAAATTTGCAAGTATCCTTGTTAGATTAGTCATTATTCAGTAGAGCATACTTTGATCAATTTTCAGTTTTAGATAGTGTGTTTATTAAAAAGGCAGGAATTGCTGGTATCCAGTGACCATGGATAAACTCATGTTTTTTTACTTAAAAAAACCAAACAACACCTTCTGCCCCCCCCCCCCCCCCGAAGTCTGAAAATGGCCAAGGAAGCCATTTGCCAGTTGCCAACTAATATATAATCCTCCCCTTTCCTAACTATAAAATACCAGTTTTAGTAACATGAGATTTCTTTTGCAGTGAGGAGGTGGTAGGCAGACTGCTTGAAATCAGATATTTAAGAATTCCCTGTTTGCATGAATATATAGGATATTGACTCCAAATAAGCAATAAGCTTGTTTTGGGGTAGTTTAGAGGTTCTGAAATAAGGAAGCTCCATTGGGATGCGGCTTGAGATCTACCTAAATCAGCTCTGTACTATATGAGTTTATTTCTTGTTTCCTCTTTCCACAGGGGATCTCCGAGCATGCACATACTGCCGCAAAATAGCCCTAAGCTATGCACACTCCACAGACAGTAACTCTATTGGTGAAGACTTGAATGCCCTGTCTGATACTGCCTGCTCTGTGTCTGTGCTGGACCCGGGTGAGCCACGAACGCCAGTTGGAAGTAGAAAAACTAGCCGCAACATCTTTCTGGAGGAGGACCTCACTTGGCAAAGGTACTGAATGGCTTTATAGTGAGTCTCAGAATTGGAACTAGTTTTCTGGTTTAACCTCTGTTTAGACAAAGGCTGTCAATTTGCATCCAGTAAACTGGGGTTATGGTCTGTGCTTTGTTCTAATGTTGTCTTTCATTGAAGTGGAGAAGCCATTGATTCCATGGGGAGTTACCCTTTTTTAGTGAATTGTTAACCCATTTAAAATTGGACTTTGGCTGGAGCTGGTGATATTAATAACATTCATTGTGATGATGGACTTGTGGCTTCATGGAGATGGAAAGAATTTGTTCTCTTTCTACCATGGATGAATCAAGACACAAGTCAGTAGAGTAAAAATGCCTGTTTGCCAGTTAAACTAAACGTTAGTGCTTGCTGGGTGAATATTGGTAAATTGGTGTGCAGTAACAGCAGAAAGACAAGGTTCTTTGGATGAATCTGATATCTTTAATTAGATCAACTTAAATAGCTGGAAAAAATGTTCTTAGCAAGCTTGCGGGTTTAAAAACTCTTTGTTGAGGAAGCCTCTGCAGTTGGTATGTGCTCTTCCTGGATGGAATGAATAGTGGAGATACGTTGGCAGGTTTTACATTTCTTGTCATGCCATGGTCTGGATCCATTTGGTGTGTTCTGGGCTGTAGAAAGTTTGCTTCTGGTGATGAGGTTAGCAAGGTTTGATGCTTGTTTGAAGGCTAGGATGGGTAGTTCTGGGAAGATCTCTTTAAGAATAAGGTCTCCTCCTAGTATGGGTTGTAGTTGTTTGAGGATTTTCTACATGGGTTTAAGGGAGAAGTGATATGTCATAACCAGTGGTGTGCGATTTAGTGTTTTTTTTTTTCCTGTACTGCAATAATTTTTCACATGGTATCTGGGTGGCTCTTTCAAATGTGCAATCTGTCTCTGGAGGAGTGTCCTTGTTGCGTGAAAGCCTTTTTAAGATTAGTGAGGTGGCAATCCCGGGTGTTCTTCTCAGTGCAGATTCAGCGGTATCTGAGGGCTTGGCTATATATCACAGCTTTCTTGGTGTGTTTAGGGCAATTGCTTGTTCTGTGCAGATATGTATGTTGGTATGTGGTTTTCTTGTATAACATTGGTCTGTATTTTATCATTCTGGATAGTGATCATCGTGTCTAAAAAGGAGATGTTGGTGCTGGAGTATTCAAGAGATAGTCAGATGGAGGAATGTTGATTGTTGAATTTCTGATGGAGCTCAATCGGAGATTGCAGGTTTTCAGTCCAAATGATGAAGATGTCATCAATATATCTTAAGTATAGCAAGGGTTTGATGGTGCAGTCCTTGAGGAATTCTTCTTTCAGGTGGCTTATAAAAAGTTTGGCATACTGTGGGGCTATTTTGGTGTCCATAGCTGTGCCCATGGTCTGGAGGAAGTATTAGTTATTAAAAGTGAAATTGTTGTGTGTGAGGATGAAGGGTATAAGGTAGTAATGTCTTTGGGTCTGTACTCTTGAGTTGTCATCTTGCTCTGGTAGGTATATAAGGCAGGCTTGGAAGCCATTCTTGTGTCGGTTGTTGGTATATAAGCTGGTGTAACATCCATGGTGGCTAGGAGGGTGTTGCTGGGAAGGCGGTCTGTGTTTTTAAGTTTCCATAGAAAATCTGTAGTGTCTTGAACACAACTTGCTCTTTGGGTGATGAGTGGTTTTAGAGTTAATGCAACAAAACCTGCTGTTTCCCCAGTTACCATATCCAACCATGGAACCCTAGGTCTGCCAGGGCTCCCTTGTTTGTGGATTTTGGGGAGCATGTCAAAAGTCCCTGGGTTAGGTAGTGGGGGGGGAGGGAGGGGGGATCAAGGTCTGTAGTTCTGATGGAAATGATTTGCTGGTATTTTCGAGTTTCATGGTGAAAACGGGAGTAGGATCTTCTTGTAGTTCTTTGTAGTAGGTGGTGTCAGAGTTGTCTGTTAGCTTCCTTTATGTAGTCTTCACGGTTTAGGATGACTGGTTTTATTACTCTTTGGTGGTTGAATCTTAGAGATTTCTAGGGCCTTTCTCTCTGGTAGGGAGAGGTTGTTATGGTGGCATGTGTTGTTGATTATTTCATTGTTCATTCTTTCCCTGAAGCAGTCAATGTAATGGTCAAGGTTAGAGTTTCATCTACCGTGAGGTGTCCAATCTGATGTTTTTTTGGGGGTTGCTGTTTTCCTTAATGTTGTCAGAGGATGAGTTGGTGTTGAAAGTAGATTTATTTGGATCGTGGAAACATTTCTTGAGGCGGAGGTGTCGGAAGAATTCTTCTAGTTCTCCACACTGAAGTATTGTATTAGGGTATTTTTTCTGGACAAAAATTTAGGCCTTTAGAAAGGACAGATTTTTTTTTTTTTTTTTTTCATTTTTGGTAAGCGTGTGTGGAGAGAGTGATATTTGAGGGTTTGCTGCTGCTTTCAGTTTCATCAAGTCTGAAGGTGGAATGTTATAAGCTGTTGGTGTTGAGTTTGGCTTCTTTCTTTTTCATGTTGTACAGTTTCCATTGCATTGTTGTACAGTTTCCATTGGTGACCACCAGTATCTGGGGGAACATTTGTTCACCAGAGCGCCCCAAGGGATGACTAGGTCGAACGGTTAGAAAGTACTGCAACACCATTTCAGGCTGGACGTAAGGAAGAATTTCTTTACTGTCAGAGCCCCCAAGGTCTGGAATAGCTTGCTATCAGAGGTGGTTCAAGCACCTACATTGAACACCTTCAAGAGGAAAATTGGATGCTTATTTTGCTGGGATCCTATGACCCCAGCTGACTTCCTGCCCTTTGGGCAGGGGGCTGGACTCAATGATCTTCCGAGGTCCCTTCCAGCCCTAATGTCTGTGAAGTCTATGAAGGTCTAATAAAAGAGATCAGATTCACCCAAAGAACCTTGTCTGCCTATGGCCTTAGACCAACATGGCTACAATCTACACCTATGTAACAGCAGAAAGTAAGTTTTCTACATAGCAGTCTGAAAGATCACTAAAACAATTATTTGATATCAAAATGGAAGTCTCTCTAGTTGTCTTGGTGGAAGAAAACTATTAAGAGTTTAGGCAAGGGAAGTGGTGTGTAGAGCAGTTATTTAAGTTCCAAATAAGCAGTTATTTAAGTCTTAAATAATGGTGTTTTTATGCCTAAGGAGGAATAGATTGAAAGAACAACATTAATATACTGTTTACAGGGATTTTGCTAAATGCAGAAGTACAGGATTAGGGTGAAATAATGAAAGAGGAATCTAATAAATCTCAATGTATCTAGAAGAGAACCATTAATCGTAGAAAAGCGTAATGTCTTCAGAGGCAAGAGGATTTCTTTTCCTGGTTGCAGTGGGTGCATCTACACAAGATGCATTGCTACGCTCGAGATCGCAACTGCGGGGCTGGTGCTGGGAGAAAAGGATCTCCCAGTGCTAGTCCCGTGACTGTGGAGCTGGTGCTTAGAGATGGGGATCTCCTAGCTCCTGTTCCCCAAATGCAGATTAGGATCTGGGAACTGTCTCAGTCAGGGCAGATCCCAGCCCTGTGCCTTGATCAGGTGATCAAGGTGCAGGACTTGGAAAGAGCTGCAGGGGAGGGGCAGGTCCCAGCCCCCTACCCTTATCCACCAATGAAGCAGCTAGCAGCAAGCCCCTGCTAGCACCTGTCCCAGCCCTGAAGCTCTTTCCAAGTCCCCTGCCCCAACTGGGGAGCTGGGGCCAGGAGCACCCTGTTGCTGGGACAGGGGGGCATTGTCCCTTCCTGGGCTCCAGTGGCAGAGCCTGCCCTGGTAGCAGACAGCCCCCCTGGGGGCAGGGAGCAAGGTCCCAGTGTAGCAGGTTACTGTTGGTGCCTGCCACTTGAAGGGCTGAGCCAAGTAGCCAGCAGGTGTTTGATTGCGGCAGCCATTTTAGATCCCTGGCTGCCTATATAAACAGAGCAATTTGCTGCTGGCAGACAAGGCAGTATATTTGCCTGGCTGCAAGGCTTCATGCAACATCCTGGAGGTAAGGGCAGGAGCTGTAGGGGATGATTTGGAGGCTTCTGGTCCTGGATATGACCTAAAACTGCACCCTGCCAGGAGTGGGTGACCTGATGGGTCTCTGTGGTGCAGGAGTCCCCAGGAAATGCCAGGCCAGTTATCACCCCAGTGAAAGGTGAGTAGGGGTGCCATAACCCCAGCCCTCACCTTCAGGTGGGTCATTTACTATTGGAGCAGGGTAGGCCAGGTAAGCTTCGGGAAGCGCCTGAGCCTGCTGGGGGAGTGACCCTGCAGGGCCAGGCATGCTTCCAGAAGCACCTGAGCTGGGAATGGGGGACTCCAATCCTTAAGTGCAGGCAGGAGGTGTAAATCCAACTGAGGGACTATACTGGTCACTGCTGGGGCCAGAACTGGAAGGGTCAAAAGGGCCAGGGGCCCACCACGAGGGATGCCCATGATGAGCAAAGAAGCTTGGGGTCCTGACTGGCCTGAAATGGGGCCAGGGCTTATATGGAAGCTGAAGGGCCACAGCTAATGGGTGAAGGGGACGGGTGAGCCAGCTGCCTGAGATGCCATCTGTGAGGCTTGGGCCACAGTGTAGGGGTAGAATGGAGCTGTGGATAGCACCCCCTTCCCTTCTCCTTCTCCCCCCCCCCCCAGTATCAGGGTGTAAAATGGGCAGCCTCCTGCCTTAATTAACAGCATAATTAATTGCAACAAGGCTTGGCAGGTAAGTCAGGTGGGTGGCGTGCCCAGAGGCAGGTGGGAAACTAGCTCTGTGGCTAGTCAGGGACCCCCACTTTGCCACACCCAGCCCTTGCCACGAGACAGCTGTCTCCTAGCCCTATGCTTGCTGCCAGCCCTTGGCTTAGGACCCAGGGAGAGCCTATATCTTGCCCTGGCTGCTGTAGGGTGCCTCTGCAGGGGCAGGAACAGATTGCTGCCATGAGCAGCAAATCTGCTCCGGTGTCCCAGCATGTGTAGATTTCATAGACATCAGGGCTGGAAGGGACCTCGGAAGATCATCGAGTCCAGCCCCCCGCCCAAAGGGCAGGAAGTCAGCTGGGGTCATAGGATCCCAGCAAGATAAGCATCCAGTTTCATCTTGAAGGTGTTCAATGAAGGCGCTTGAACCACCTCCGGTGGCAGGCTGTTCCAGACCTTGGGGGCTCGGACTGTAAAGAAGTTCTTCCTTATGTCCAGCCTGAAACGATCTTGAAGTCGTTTGTGACCATTCAACCTCGTCATCCCTTGGGGTGCTCTGGTGAACAAACGTTCCCCCAGATGCTGGTGGTCACCCCTGATAAACTTGTAGGTGGCCATCAGATCACCCCTGAGCCTGCGCTTTTTCAGGCTAAAGAGCCCCAGGGCTCTCAGCCTGTCATCGTAGGGTCTGCTTCCCTGACCTCTGATCATGCGCGTGGCTCTTCTCTGGACTCTCTCAAGCTTCTCCACATCCTTTTTGAATTGTGGAGCCCAAAACTGGACACAGTACTCCAGCTGCGGCCTCACTAAGGCCGAGTACAAGGGGAGAATGACGTCCCGGGATTTGCTTGAGAAGCATCTATGGATGAAAGCCAGCGTTTTGGTCGCTTTACTAGCCGCCGCATCGCACTGC